AATTATAGCTGTTAGCTTGTCAATGATCAAAGGCTTAGAGAGTTGTAAATTGTGGATAACATCTAACATATTGTCTGCTATGTAAAACATGTCAGATCCTGGTGGTATGAAAACAAACAAAGTGGAGACAACTTGGGATGAGCAGGATGAGAGGAAGCTATCAGTATCAGTGTTTTGTGTGGTGATGACAGAACATAAACATTATGTACAGGTTGTGATTAATGGTGGGCTGATATGAAGTAAAAATAATCACTGTTTGTAGTGAGAAGTGATGGTTATATGAAGGATATACACATTGGTAGTAGTTGTAAAAAACATTATCTTTCAGGAATGGATACAGTTCACTACTAAGATTTTGATATATTTTTTGTGTGATTTAATAAGAATTAAGCCATTGAGGACTTTGGAGATTAGAAAAAAAGTAAAAACAGTAGTTATGTCATCCAAAAAATCAATAAACAAAATGACATCAATATATGACTTATGTAGTAGGGGTATAGAGCCAATGCCTTTCTTTTTGTAGTGTTTGTAGGTTCCGTGGTCCCTAGCTCGGACTGAGAAATAGTGGTAACTAGAGGGCAATATTACCCTTTATTATATGACTTATATTCAGATTAGGATTTTCGATAACTGTAACCCCTTGTTTGTTTGCTCCCTTGTGTCAGAGCTCTCAATTCAGTTTTGCTTGTCCATTTTCATATATCTTTCTGCTGTAAATCCTTCATTGTTGACATAGTTGATGCTCCAGAGAAGTTCTGACTTTCTAAATTAAGCTTTTTCTCTTCCAAATGCCTCTTCCCATTTCCATTTCCCCTCTCAATTCACATGACAATTATTGAACAACTGTCCACATCCTGTTAATTGTTGAAATACTGGTGACACTTTGATATATTCATATCATTGTCTGTTACAAAATTTGACCTTGATAGTAATTTATCAGACATGGAATGTCTATTACAGGAAACAAGTAGATATGGTGGAACATTTCCAGAAAAAATTATAAATCGTAGTTGAATAAAAAGTAAAAATGTGGAAATTATGATGAATAGATGAGAGATAATTAGATAAATGGAATTTCACGGTATTTTGACTAAACAGCAGAATGTGTATAGACAAAGGTTAATGCCAAAGAAGAAGAAAATTAGGATAAAAGTGTTGGTGAATCTGAACCTGTTGATCTGATCTGCTGTTTCTTTAATTCACACCAGACCAGACATGTTTTATTGGTTTCCTGCCGACCAAGGCTACAAGAATGTAGAGTGACAATCTTTCCATTTAATTTCATTTGAAATGTGCGAGGAGTCTCGTGAAAAAAGCATCAATGTATTTTTTCCTCTTTCCTACCAATATATTTCTGTCAACTGAGATTTGATTGTGTTACATCTAGTCAGACCTGGGTCACATTAAAGCTTGTGATGAATGTATGGTCCATGGAGAGCAAGCGTCTGTATGACGTAGATCACTGAGAACATATCGGAGTCCATTTGTTTGGTTGTAGAGGTGGAACTATTGCAAACCTACTGTTGTCTATTTGTGTGGTTGTAGAGGTGGAACTATTGCAAACCTACTGTTGTCTATTTGTGTTGTTGTAGAGGTGGAACTATTGCAAACCTACTGCAGTCTATTTGCGTGGTTGTAGAGGTGGAACTATTGCAAACCTACTGCAGTCTATTTGTGTGGTTGTAGAGGTGGAACTATTGCAAACCTACTGCAGTCTATTTGTGTGGTTGTAGAGGTGGAACTATTGCAAACCTTCTGCAGTCTATTTGTGTGGTTGTAGAGGTGGAACTATTGCAAACCTACTGCAGTCTATTTGTGTGGTTGTAGAGGTAGAACTATTGAAAACCTACTGTTGTCTATTTGTGTGGTTGTAGAGGTGGAACTATTGAAAACCTACTGCAGTCTATTTGTGTGGTTGTAGAGGTGGAACTATTGCAAACCTACTGCAGTCTATTTGTGTGGTTGTAGAGGTGGAACTATTGCAAACCTACTGCAGTCTATTTGTGTGGTTGTAGAGGTGGAACTATTGAAAACCTACTGCAGTCTATTTGTGTGGTTGTAGAGGTGGAACTATTGCAAACCTACTGCAGTCTATTTGCGTGGTTGTAGAGGTGGAACTATTGCAAACCTACTGCAGTCTATTTGCGTGGTTGTAGAGGTGGAACTATTGCAAACCTACTGCAGTCTATTTGTGTGGTTGTAGAGGTGGAACTATTGCAAACCTACTGTTGTCTATTTGTGTTGTTGTAGAGGTGGAACTATTGAAAACCTACTGCTGTCTATTTGTTTGGTTGCAGAGGTAGAACTATTGCAAATCTACTGTTGTCTATTTGTTTGGTTGTAGAGGTGGAACTATTGAAAACCTACTGCAGTCTATTTGTGTGGTTGTAGAGATGGAACTATTGAAAACCTACTGCTGTCTATTTGTGTGGTTGTAGAGATGGAACTATTGAAAACCTACTGCAGTCTATTTGTGTGGTTGTAGAGGTGGAACTATTGAAAACCTTCTGCTGTCTATTTGTTTGGTTGTAGAGGTGGAACTATTGAAAACCTTCTATAATTGAATTAAATGAATAAAATAACTTTCAGAAGGACCTCAGTAGAGATTTCTTTGTTCTGAATATGTCAGGTTTGAATATGTAGGTCTTTGAACTGCTGGTCATGATGTCATACACCAAAAAGAGCTGTCATTTACTTGTGCATAGTATAATAATATGTCATCAACAGTTTATGCTAAATTTTGTTTATTTTTTTTTCTACCATTTTCCTGTTACTCTTAGATAATAGACCAAGAACTTCATCGTTTATTGAAATATGTTTTTTGCGAAATTCTCATTTGTACATGATGTACAGAAGATATTGACAATCTGTAGAGCTTAACGTGTCGAAAAGACACCAAGTTCATCTCCGTTCATTCTTTATGCGACGTTGTTTCTGTTATGTTCAGCCAGAAGGATATTGCATGAATGATTGCATGAATGACTTCTAGTAAATGATAATTGTTTGGTTGGAATGCCACTCCTCCTCCTTGCTCCAAAATGGCCAACTTCCAAACTGCTTAAAATATGTTGTTTGAAGTCAAAGATGTGTAAAATAAAATTGAATAGGTTTTTGAAGGAAGACATATAACTAAATAATGGTGTATGGAAAATGTGTTTATAACAGTGTTGTATGTCTGGTAAAGGTTTTACAGGTAAAACAAGACTTTTTATCTGATAGATGTTTATCATGCATGTAATGTAGAGAAGTATGTCGGCAAAAGAAAACCCCAAATTAACATCCCTTCAACGACAACATTACTTCCACTGAAATAGCATAGACCATAAGAATTACTATGTTTTGTTAAATGAAAACCTAATTTATGATTGTAGGGGGCGTAACCATGGCAGGGCATTTATTTTTATACAATGTATACCTATTATTTCTTTGTAGCTAGTCACCTCAACTTCTTTAGAGCAATTTGTTTTTAAATGACTTGAAGTAGCTGTCTCTTAATTGATATAAGTTTTGACATTAAAATTGCTCATATTAAATATGAATAAGGTTTAAGTTTTTAATGCTTTGTTAGGAAATCTTTTCTTTGCTATAAGGTCAAGCTCAGTTTTATACTTATTGGGGGTTAACATGAACAAAATGAACAAAAGTAGGGCACTTTCATTCATAGTTTAGGAGAAATTTTATTTTAGTGCTTTCCATTCTGAAAGTACTGCACTAAGTATGTTCTTTATGTATGCTGTTTATACAGTAATTATTGTGGATGTGCTAATTTATCACGGTGCTAATTGGCCAAGAAATGATAATGTGCTTGTAATTGATTGCACCAAATTTTGTACATGTATGGTGTAGATGTAGGCATTGAAAAATGTAATCTGTTAGTTTTTACATTGAGGCAGCTCATACATTGAAGATTCTTGTTTGTAATTGCCAATATCTATTGTAAAAGTTGAAAATACTTCTTTTAATGAAATATATTGCATTAGATTTTTTGAGAACTTTGAATTGATTCTGATGCTTTCCGTGCCTTTTATCATAACAGCAATTGTTGATTAAATCCACTTGGTAAAAAACTACACTTTTGAATTTAAATTTTATTTTTTTTTAACTTTTTTTTTTAATTGTATACTGATGTACTTATGTGACACTTTAGAATATGTCATTGACAAAATGGATACAGAGAAAACTGTAGGGTTCTAGATTTGAAAAAAAAAATGTTTAAATATCGAAATGGACCAAAATTTATTTAAATGAACTTAAAATACCAGTGCATCATTAACATACATCATTCTTTGTCAGTTTACTGTTGTTCTAAAATTGGATTTAACCTTAATGTGAACTGCAAATTCAATTTTTTTCTTTCGCAAATTTCAAATTAGCATTCAGCTTTTCACAAAATTGCCAAAAAACCCAAATATGCTTAGTTGAGATATAGTGAAAATTTCCTGTTGACCTTTAATCACCGAAAGCTAATTTATCACTTGAATTAGAGAGTTTTTATGTGAAATCATTTTCAGTGAATGTAAGAAAGGAAACATGCTGTTTACATTGATGGAGACTACAATACATAAATGACTCCTGTACTGGTCAATATTCAGAAATAAGGATCCAACATCTTAGTTTTTTTTCAAAACTCAAATTAAAGTCTTGGATAGGTCAGGTCAGGCTGAACTGCTAGAAGTTAAAATTTGATTGTACCAGCCCATACAGACATGTTCTTTTTTTCCGATGCTCTGCCTGTGATATAATAGTGAACATTGAAGTCATTTTGGGGGTATTCTCTATAAATAATGGTAGCAGCTATGGGAAAACAACTTCTTCACTGAGGCAAGAAAATAAAATCATGTGACTTTATTTAGCCATTCACCACCGAAGAATTTCAGTACAGATGTAATGTTTGTTCTAATTAAGGGACACTAGCTGTTTTGCTATTATTTTTTCTCTGTTGTAATTGACAGACTGTTTGTTTATTTATTTACCTGACTTGATTGTTTTTTTCCTTTCAGAGAGAATAGGAAATTTAGTGCAGATGTCAGAAAATAGTACAATCCGTATTCTCACAGACATCTACAATATTCCTCATTTGGAGCACCAAGACATAGTCCGAGAATTCTATGATGAAATCCGACAGTACTTAAAGCACAAGAAACACATGACCTTGTATGGCAGTGTTGCCACGTTTTTCGACAAAATATTTCCAGCAGTTTACAAAAACGCATTGAACGATGGATCAGTGACGGTACTTACGAAGGAACACCGCGATTGCCTTAGACATAAACATCAGGAAATATCCCCTTCACCCTTCGGTATTTTGCCATCAACGATTTCTTACAAGTTAAGTAAGGCTCTCAACGTTGCCAAGTCTTATGTGGAATTTCTTTCGCTTATCGTCGAGGCAATCAACACGACTGATCACTTGACCATCAACGGCAAATGTAAAGATCAGATGACCCACCTTCAATATTGTTCACATTGTGAAAGTTACGTGGAGGCAAAACCATGTCGTGGGTTTTGTCTCAACGTCATGCGAGGATGTTTAGCACAGTTATCTACCCTTACTCCAGAATGGGAGGAGCTTATCAGACAAGGTGTTCGATTGGAGGGTGGCATGAGCCAGACAAATGACATCGAAAAAATTCTGAATAGTGTGGATCGCAACATTGATGCAGCTGTCATGCATGCCATGGAGAGTGAAGACCTCTATGACAAAAATGTGAGTACAATTTGTTTCAGAATATTTTTCATTTCATATATAAGATTACATTTGGGCCATTTCAAGAGATGTAGGAACAAGGTTAGTCGTCCATCATTACATTGATTTCCAGAGAAGAAAATTGCAAAAGGGGCATTTAGTATTGTTTAACGATTTCAAAGCCATCGTTTGAGTACATGGTCAAATTTTGTATCTTCAAGTTGCAGTAAAACCAAGATCACAATAACAGTAAGATAAATTATTGATCTAGATTTTCTTAAGTTCATTTAAATATTTTTTTTATCAGGACGATCATCTTGTCCAATTGAATTAATTCAAGCTGGTATTTTTTTAAAAACTACCATGTAACTGATTTACAGTAATCATTATGGGATGGATCTAACTGAAAATTGATATATTTGTATGAAAAGATTTTACCAAAGTGTATACCGGAGGTAAATTGGATCACATTAGCGAGAGTATTTTGTGGTGCCCTTGCCAAACTGCAGGCTTTTCATTTGTCAGTATACAATTATAACCTTAGGCTCTTGCCTGCATAATGGTACTAGGATGATTTGACATAAGTGAAGACTAGGGACTGATGTATTATGTATATACTGGGGTTGACTATCCTGATTTGGGTGTATATGGTAAATACCCAGACATTTTATTTCCCATCCATCCCATAAGAAAGGGATAACCAGTATTTAATTAAAAGACCTACATGAGAGACAGACGATATCGTTGATTAGATAATCTATACTGGTACACCCTAGATATCTTAGGTATTGTGTGGCCAGGCAATTCAAACTGTGCAGTAGTTGCACATGTCAGACAAACACACAGGACTTTTTCACACTTAAACCTTGATATCTTAGTGTGTTACAGATGTTTTATTAGGGTTTGCGTAAGGTTCGCTCACTTATAAACTTAAAGGTTAGAAATTTCTTACGTAGTGTAATATCAGATGTAGCCTTTCCACAAAGTTTTAAAAAGTTCTGCCAACTTATATCCTGACGCTTGAAAATGAGAGACCGAGAACACGATATCAAGTTTTTATTGATTTTTGTAGTCTCCTAAGTCTACGTTTCTGTTTCTGGATTTATCCAGGAATAAGCCCAGGCCTGGAAAATAAGTCCACTGATTTTTAATATAGTATCAGATAATATGTTTTACCATATTGTCCTGTATCAAACATATTGGGTACCATTTTTACAACCTCCCTGTCTTTCTTCTTAAAAGGAAATTAGATGAAATGGCAATGTTTGAGTTAATTTGACCTTGACCTTTGTTGAAGTGTACCTGTGTAGACACAGTTCTTGAGGATGTAGGTATGTAAGTTTTAAATGCCTGGCTATGTTACCTGTATAGGTAGATCAATAAGGCCACAGTCTCAAGTATTACCTACTTAGATATACTGCGAGAAAATATGGAGGCTCATGCAGGCCATATCGAAGGACTTTCAGTCTGTGAAACTGTGGCTAAACTTTCAGTCTATAAGTTAAAGTAGTGCCTATTATGAAATCTTTGATGTCAGATCATTTACTTTTAAGTCATTTCAGTATAATCTTACTGAAATTGAATGAAATTTTACAAGAATAAAAAAATGACAGAAAAACTGACATTATTACATGGAATTTGAATGACTTCTTTAACAAACATGATTTTTTCAGTGCTTTGAAGTGAAAAGTTAAATAATTTAAGAATTTTTTGAAAGATACAGGTATAAATTAAACAGTTTATTCTGGTTTTATATCTAGACAGATATTTATCTATTTTCTAAACATGACTCGGATTTAAAAATAAAATTCTTGAAAAATTCTAGAAAAGAAAAATTGACAATAACTAAGCAGAGGCCACTTATCGATTTCAATATGACACACTTTAAATAAAACTTATAAGAAATCTGTTGTATTCATGATGAATGATGTATTCTTTATAATCCCATCTGTTTTTAGATGAAGTATAATTGTGATAGAACAGTTACATTCATTCAATGATTTGAATACATCAAACTACATTGTTTGTAGGGACATAAGTATAATCTCCAAGGCCAGAGGGGGAGGTTATATGGTAGCTTGTTCATTGCATATATGAATAGTGGTAAATATCAGTAAATTTTGATAGATTTTAAATATTTCACGTGTTATTCAGAATTTTTTAGCTGTAATTTGCGTTAATGTAATACGACTTTCTATGATATCTATTCACTATATATATAGACCAGATTCAATGAGAATTAAAACATAGATTCTTAATTCTTAATTAATAAAAAATCATTTATTTTTATGAATGATTTAAATAAAAATGTAAAGTTACTTATTTAGGAATTTTTAAAGTAATTTATAAAATCATAACAAGATACTTAAGATATTTAGTGACTTTAAAACTTGTGGGTCTCTACCTTACCTGTGGAATGCTCGTGTTAATCACCCAACTGGACAGGACTGTTCACTATTATCCAATGTTTGCATAAGAACTAAGGTAATATTAGATTTCTTTTCCTTTTAAATGATTTTCTTACAAGACAATTTTTATAAAAAGTTTAAATCCTGATCCAAGTTTGATACGATATTGATTGCTGTTGAATAGGAATGTCTCCCCTAGACCTTCACAGTTTAAAAGGATGTTAAACCTGGGCTTTGATGGCAAATATTTGCTCAAGATTTTTCAGTGCCATTGTGCAAATAGCCATGTTTATTTTTGAATACCAAACATACTTTTCCATCCAGTTCAATATATGTTAGAACCTAGTCACCCAAGCGTTTTGAAGAGATATAAGATAGGTGGGTTGTCAAGGATCGGATTGCTACATTGTCCACGAACATTATCCGGCTGATTTAGCCATTATTGATGCAATGTACCAGAAATTTGAAATATGGATCAGAAATTATTTCATTGTCATTGAGTGTGTGTTACTATCGATGAAGCTTTTAATTATCTAAAGAAAAAAGAACTTGTTTTAAATGTAAGTGTGTGAATGATTTGAAAAAAAAATTGTTTTCAACTTTTCATGTTTATTGCTGATTAATTCAGTTGAACCATTCGAACACGTTGTCTTTTCTAGAAGAAACAAAAAAAAAATTGATTTTTTTTTATGAAACAAAGAGCTTGAGTACAGATGCATCCCAAATGTGAAGTTCTCTTTTGAACGAATAGATTACAATTCAATGCCTTTGTTTAAATATTACTGTGGTCATATAACATTTTTCAATTTTGACTTAAAAGCTACCAAGAGAGTCATTTGATATGCTCCGTTTACTGATCAGAGCATAGCATTTCATCAAGTTGTGACAAAAGTGGATGACTTGTTCCAAAATGATGTCTTTGTATGGCTTGGATAGTCTTGGCTACTTGGTTTATTACCAGCTTCTTCAGATTCACACCCAGCGAAAAGTTATTGTATGGTCCACAAAGCAGTCATATACCTCCAGTATTTATTAGCCCGTGATGTTAGAGAAATACATTTTAGTTTTAAAGCTGTCAGGTTTTGTGTGTATGTGGGGGAAAAGTCACACTGATTAAACACAAAGTGAACTATGATTCACAATCCAAAATTTCATTGATAATTCTTTTGTGTTTTTTTTATTGCTATAGAAAAATCTAGACAAATTCTATTTCTATCTTTGGTATGGATTAATAAGTTTCTGTTTGAAAATCAATATTTTGTCAAAGGAACTTGATCACATGATTTTTTTTAATCAAAGTGGTTGATTGAAGTAAAAAAACGAAGAAGCAGGCTTTGCTCCTTGAAGTCATTCTTCATGTTGTAAACCTGCAACATCGAAAGTCAGACTAAATGTGGGCTACATAAGCAGAGTTTCAGTGCTTTTAAAAATCTTCATTTAAGTGTTTCCATTAACTCCCCTCCCCTTCAAAAACAGAAGAAATAGGGGTGGCAGGGGGGGGGGGGGGGGGGTGATGCATTGACATAATTGATGAAGTCAAAGATCTTAATTTGACCCTAAATTGACCTCAAGCTGAGATAAACCATTTTGAACTTGTCCAATCAGGAGTTGTTAGTTCATTGACCAAGGAAGTGAAAATCAGTCCCTTCTTCTGCAAGATTGGAGCTCGAGTAGGAGAGTGTCCAGATGGATGGTCAGCAGTTCTGTTCTGGACATTCTTACTAATCAAGATTTGGTGTGATGGATTTCCGTCAGGCTAAGGAAAACACATATATGTTTCTTGGTATTTCCTATTTTTAAGAGTCATGAATCTTATATTTGGCTCTAAACCCATGTGAAAATTGGTCCTGAAGAAGAAACAGGATATGCTTAAAAGTGGAAAAAGAAGTTAAATTGTTATAAAATTTAATTATTTATGTTACTCACCAATAACCTGAAAGGTAATAGGGTTGATTCAGAAGGGTAACATTATGGTGTTGGAGAAATTGCCTGGGATAATGTGGGTGTGGTGGGTTGATGGAGTACACATTCATATACACATAAGTAATTAGATGTTAAATGGGAATTAACAGAATATGTATGAATAAATTATTAAGGTGTAGGTATGAATTTGACAACAAACAGTTATATTTGCATAATGAATGTATATATATATTTCTGGATAACGCTTTCTGTAAGGCGAGATCAATATGTCTTGGTGCTGTAAATATCAGGTAGTTTTGATACAGATTAATTATTGAAGTAAATGAAATTGATGTTCAGAAAATTATGAAAATATTTTTTTTTTGTAAAAAGATAGTAAAACATACCTGTCAATTTTAAAAAAGAATAAAAGATAGTAAAACATACCTGTCAATTTTAAAAAAGAATAAAAGATAGTAAAACATACCTGTCAATTTTAAAAAAGAATAAAAGATAGTAAAACATACCTGTCAATTTTAAAAAAGAATAAAAATTTTAAAAAAGTCAATTTTAAAAAAGAATAAAAAACATCATCTAATTAGAATTAGTTCAAGTAGAAGAAGCATATCTAGTTAGCAAATGTTTTTGACATTTACAACATAGGATTGAACATAGAAATGTGTTACTGTTTAAAATGAAGGTAGTTATCAA